GTAAAAGGGCAGGATGTTTGGATTCATATGGCAACGACGAGTTTTCTAAGCGACCACCAACACGAATCAGGTTGTCACCGCCCACCATAGGGGATAATTTTGCTACCCAGCGAGGCAAATTCTTCGCAGAGCGTAGCTTGACGAAAATGTCTCCAAACACCTCTTCCTGCACAATTCTTACTATAAACAACAAGGCACTATGACGTTCCGATAATGACAAAGAACCTGAGCGAAGATCAGCAGGGTGTCTGACATTACGGACAAACCGTAAAATTAAAGCAACGATGGCTTGAATTTAGGTAGCGACGAACAATTTTTTAACAACGAGTGTACGAAATGATCTTGGCCTCCGATACATTGAATGAGGCAAGAAACTATGGGACGAGAACTAAACGAATCTTTCAACTCCAAATTGTGCGAAATGTTTATTGGCTCTGGAGGCCAGAAATTAGGTGATAAAGTCAAAAAATCAGGGCCTGACCACCACAAAGGATGCGAAAGTAGCTGACTTGGCAATAAGCCACGAGACGCTGAGTCAGCAGAATTTTTCTGAGAGGGTACATGACGCCAACATCCGGGAGGAATGCGTTCATGAATGTAAGCTATTCTATTGCTGACGAAAACTTTCCACTGCCTAGGTAACGAACGAATCCAACTGAGGACAATTGTAGAATCAGTCCATGCGAAAATTTTGTCAATAACGACAATATCACGAAAAGTGTCCAAAACGAATTTGACTAATTTAGCCAGGAGTGCTGCAGCGCAGAGTTCCAAACGAGGAATGGATAACTGCTTGAGGGGAGCTACTTTAGATTTTGCAATAACTAAACAAGTACAAGATTTACGATCGGAAAACGAAAAACTAAGGTAGACTACGGCGGCGTAGCCACGTTCAGACGCATCACAAAATCCATGCAATGTGCAAAGATACGAATCAGAACCAAAATCACCCCCCGGGGTCAACTCACGAGGGATACGAAGCGAAGAGAGTTGAGGTAATTCAACTTTAAATTGATTCCATTGCGAAACGATACAACTGGGAGGCTCTGCATCCCAACCAAGACCTAACAACCAAATCTGTTGGATGAGACACTTTGCGACGAAACTAATTGGTGCAAGGAATCCAAGAGGGTCATAAATACGAGCTAATTCCGAAAGAAGTGTGCGTTTTGAGCACGAAATGTCACGAGGATTGACAACAAAAGCGAAAGAATCAGAGGCCGAACGCCACTGAAGACCAAGGATTTTGACAGTGTCGGAAGATTCACTATCAAACGAAAGAGCTTGAGGCTGACGATGATCTAAAGGAATCGAATCTAAAACTTTCACACGATTGGATGCCCATTTGCGAAGCTCAAAGCAACCTAGGGCGAAGCGATTTACTAATTGTTCAACGAATTGAGAAACTAATGGAGTCAGATGACTAGAGTCCAACTTCAACAGAGGTTGGCCAACGAAACGATTTTCCAACGAACGAAAACGACGATTTGCAACTTCAAGAGAATTTTCGAAAGCAGGTTTCGAAATCTTGAATGGGAGGGCAACACCAAAACGACCAGATGGTTCCCTATACAACGAATTTCTAAAAATGGATTCCGCGCGATCATCCTCAGGAGTGATTGCAGCTGGTGCAGGCGGAACTTCTTCGACGTTCCAAAATTCCTCGACGACTTTATCTAGGGACGACAAAGGCGAGTGAACGGAAGAAGCCGAACTAAGCGACGAAAACAACGAAGTAACGGTTTGTTGAGGCCTGGCGCCATTGACCGGACCTAACACTACATGACCAAATATTGTACCCAACAAGAAAGGGTGTTCCAAATGTCTACATCTCCTATCTAGACCAGGGCTAGCGATTTGAGGGTAGATGTCTGCGCCCAGTAACATCTGAACTGAACGAGACCTGTGCCATTCATAATCCGCCAATCTAACTCTATCAGGCATGGGGACATTAGAACTGACATTATCATTTGGCAAGTTGCCACAAATTTTATCCAAAACGAAAAAATCTACTTTAAATGTGGGATCAGTACGATCACTGGGACGAATTTCTCCAGTAACTATAGACGATGATTTGGTTGCGACTTGCCCTAAACCACAGATGGGCACTGCATTGGTTAGCTTAGGCAAACGAAGTTTGTTTGCTAAGCTCGAACAAAGATAGGACGCTTGACTGCCCGGATCCAGCAAGGCCCGAACGATATGGTAACTACCGAAACGATCTCTAATCTTTAGAACTATGGTACCCAGTAAAACGGGAGGACGATCTGAATTGGAAGCCATGAAAGTGGCTGAGCAACGACTAGTGCAAGAGGTCAATTGGTTCGATCCATTTGATTCACTTGTAGATGGCAAAACGACAGGACTAGAAGGTCTATTCGAAAAATGCAAAAGTGTGTGATGACGAGCGTCACAAGTGCGGCAATTCCGCGAGGAGGGACAAGAAGCGACGACATGTCCACTACCCAGACAATTTAGACAGATGCGATTACGTTTGGCGATTTCGTAACGATCTTGGGGTTGCTTTTCGTTGAAAGCAGGGCAACTAATTAGGCTATGGATTCGAGAGCATAAGAGGCATTTGAGAGGAGGTTTTGAACGAGACTGCGACGACGAAGTTGCGACCAGAGAGGTCTTGCTAGAAGATTTGGTAAAAGTACCAGACGACGACAATGACAATTTTTGCGGTTTGCCAACCGATTCGAAACTACGAGGATTTTTGTTATTAGATGCAGTCACGTTCAACAAAAGTGGTGCCTGTAAGGCTTCTAACGACAAACAATGTTCGCTCAACAAAGGCTCTATGTCTGAAAATGTAGGAATTTTCTTTTTATCTAAACGAATTTCAATCTCTTTGCGCGTGGCAGAGTCGAGTTTGTGAATAATGACAATAAATAGGACAAAGTCCCAAGTGTCGGCAAGGTTCAACAATTTGAGAGCTTCACAGTTCTCACGAACAGTGTTCAATAATTTCCGCAAGCTCGAGGCGGATTCGACGGGTATAACCGGGATATTTTGGATTTCATTCCAATACAAAGTTGCTAACAATCGATCATTATTGTACCTATCTAACAAGGCTTGAAAGGCGATTTTATAATTGTCATCCGAAATGGGAATTGACTTAACTAAATTAAGAGGTTCGCCCGAAAGGCTACCTGCCAAAAGGTGAAATTTTTCCACATCTGCGTATGGTTTTTCGTCGACTAATTTAACAAATAAATCCCTAAAGTGGGGCCAATTACGAATGTTGCCATCGAATTTAGGCAAAGCTATTTTTTGCAAGCGATCTACGAAATGTTTTTGTTCCTCATCGACCGATTGCCGAAGAGGATTACTACTATTTGGTACACGCGAAATTGGGAATAATTCTAAATACACAGTTTTTATTTCTACATATTTAGCGAGAAAATCTACACCTACATCGATTTCTTGTTGCAAATTGTCAGGTTTATCTGCTAACAACGATACTATTTCTACTTGATTAAGGTCAAAGGTCTCTTTGCAAGATTCGACCTGTTGAAACCACGTATTAAACAAATTTTTAATCGATAAATCACCGCGCGCCTGTTGAGATAAGGCGTGGATGGTATTAAGCGTGGTTAACGAAATATTTCTAAAGGCTTGGAATTGTTTCAATTTGGCAGCCATTATAACGACAAAATAAAATGCAAATGCAACGATTTAATAAGGATAAATTCGTGTACAAAAGGTGCAATAGCGCGTGATAAAAAAGGGCAACGCTTGGAAAACCCAATAAGTACGATAACTAAGAGATAACAACGAAAGCAAATTTTATCGCAAATGTTAAAACTCGCACGACGTACGACATGAAGGGCAAATATTTCATTCAAATACAATGCTATGAAATGCGAAACTATCAATGCAAATTTCGGAATCGTTAATTGTAACTTCCGAGACAATCGAATGTAAATTTTGAATAATTCTTTCAAACCCTCAACGTTAAGGCATAGGAAGATTTTTCTAACGAAACGAATCCTGCTCGAACAGGACCAAAAATTATGTACCGTACAAGGGGGCTTCGATAACAAAGAATTTGATTGTAAGCGGACTGTAATTATGAATTACTTCCAAGGCCTTGTTTATGCTGGGAATGAAAGAATATAGACACATAAATAAACGTGTTTATTATCAAAAAATACAAAGTAAATGAATTTCTATTGAACATGGTTGACGTAGGCACGACGGCTACTAGAATATGGTAAAGTTACGAAGGGATAATGTAAACAAAGGAACTTACGTGTTGTTTCGAAGTCCATTAACAACGAAGACGATGTTGCAATGGCGAAGATTGCTCATTCTACGAAGTTGTCGAATGTGTCGATTTTGTTACAACGAAATCTTCTAATTGATGTGCGGTGCTTTGACGTTCTGCTTGTTAATAACGATGTTGCGAACTGCACGGCGACATTTTGACCCGTTGGGGATCGATCGAGATCTATATGCGAACGACGAAGGCTAATCGGCCATTGGTTAACGGCAACTTCTCAACGTAGTTGAGTCGATGGCTTCTAGGCGAAGAATCGGACGAATTCTGCGCGACGAGTACACATATTGCGCTTCTGCGGCTCATGCGCGCACACGTAACAAATAGGAATATATACAGGCAAGGCAAAACGGTTATGTACAGGGTATTTTCATTAAAGGAAAAACGAAAGGATATTTTATTCTAGTTTGGGGACGCAACACATTGTAATACAAAAATTTGTTACAATATATTTACATTAAATTCAAATGTATTTCTCTGTCATAAACAATTGTCATGATATATATTTCCATTTTATTTCTTTCTCTAACGGGAAATCTTCGTAAGCTTTCTCCCAACCTTATCAAAAACCCCTCCGTTCCATCTATTGTAGGAGGTTTTTCCAGAGCATTCAATAACGCATTTTGAATTTCTTTTCTCTCATCTTGCTTTGTAAGGTAACAATGTACCCGTGCCTTTATTTATGGGAGCGTGTAAACGCTCCTTTACAAATGCACTACATTGACATCAATAGATGTCGCTAACTAATCATTAATGATAACATAATCAAGTGTCATTTCCACTTCCTAGTCGTAGGCCTAATCATGGCTGTATAAAAGGAGGATCCCTTGAGTTTAGAAGACACTTCTATCCTGTCATTTGATGACCGAAAACCTGAATCCAGACCCGAAACTGATAATCATTCATCCGATTTCCCGTTTGCATTCGATACCGTTTCCGTTCCGCTTATATCCTTAACCCACCTGTCCCTGCACCCTTAACCTCGCCATTCATTAGAAATCATCCAGTCCTTGAAAGACGAACCCTCAAACACCCGGAAGTTCGATAACTGTGGGGCCTGTGACCCGCATGTAGCCAGCTCCCGCTTGCTTGATTTAGTCGTAAGGTTGTGAACGTTAAGCGGAGGTAGTGGCCGTGTCACATCTTGCTTTTCGTTACCATACTATCACCAGTCCCTTAGATACGAGGCGAGTCAAGGTACGGGAACTGGGAACTGTGGGGCCTTCGACCTGCATTCCTCCAGTTTGCGACCATTGATTCTGCTTCAACCTCGAGCGTGGTGTACGGGGGTAGTGGCCGTGTCACATCCTGTGTACCACCTCTAGCATAAGTACCATACCGCACTGACGGGCCGAGTATTCGGAAGTGCTGGTGTCATTCACCTGAAATAGAACCCGGCGGCACCAATCATTCGCACCCCGATTCATCGATAGCTTACCAACTCCCGGATAAAAACCCGCTAATCGATAAACTTACAGCTACCGGCCAAATTAGAGTACCGCTGAGCCGAGGCGATCAGCTCCGACATCTCGACACCAGAGATCGCCGCCATTGCCCTTTTACCGCAACCCGAGGCAACGGCATAGCAGAATCTTGGTGGGAATCCATGGTGGTAAAGCTCAAAACGGGGTTACAGTTACAGTTGAATAGGAATTTAACACACTAAACCTTCCCCATACTTCTTTATTAAAAAATTGTGAATAAAATCACATAGCGACTATAGTTTCGACCTAAGTCATTTTCAAGCTGTAGGAAAATTGTAACTAATAACGAGTAACAATCTTGAACTATACATACCTTAAAATTTTTAACATCAACAACAGAAAATAGGAAATTGAAAGTACAAAAGTTACATTTTTTATCAGTATGCAAGATGGCTGCGTCCATTTTCTAATGGCATGAATTAATTAATTAATCGTCGTTGTATCATGACTATGTTAATTTTGTTCCACTTTTCTATGTCCTAACACCAACTGTTTTATATTGGATAAAAAATTTTTTCCTGTAAGTATTAATTATGTTCAACTAGTGGTTAACACATGTTCTTTCCAGCATACTGATAAAAAAATGTAACTTCTGTACTTTCAATTTCCTATTTGCTGTTGTTGATGTTTTAAATTTTAAGGTATGTATAGTTCAAGATTGTTACTCGTTATTAGTTACAATTTTCCTACAGCTTGAAAATGACTTAGGTCGAAACTATAGTCGCTATGTGATTTTATTCACAATTTTTAATAAAGAAGTATGGGGAAGGTTTAGTGTGTTAAATTCCTATTCAACTGGCATAGCAGAATACTACCGTATCGACAACACCAGGGATACCAACTACATAATAATTCTGTATTCTGTGGTGTAGATACACGGTGTTCAAAAATAAAAGGAAACTGGTGTGTAAATAAGTTTTATTTAGAAACCCTGGGGCACGACTGTAGCTACCCGCGTGCCCACCGAAAAACCCTTACAGCTTTCTTACTGAAAGAAAATGTGTTAGTTCATAACATTACATTACATGAAATTGGAAGAATGAAAAGGCTTATTTACTTTTTGTTGGGTTTATTATCTTGTCTATTTGTTCTTCCGGACAATCCTAACCATTTCTTTCTTGCTCACTGGACATTGAAGGAGTAGGAGAAATCATCTGCTGAACAACAGAACTGACGGTACTAAAAAATTATTCATTAGCTACAGATTAAGATATCTACGAACAATTTTACATACGGTTTTGTATCCAATGTATCGTCTAAGAATTTTGTAAAATCGGAAGACTGGTTCGGGTGCCGGTTGTGATGCTGAGCCACTGGGTTTATATATGTTTATTTTCTTCTTTGCCGCAACCGGAATTGTTATATTATAAAGGGCTGGTCTGTCTTGCACAAATTTTATCAGTAACTCTTCCCAGGACTCATCACCTCTTGCATCATTGGCATTTTTATTTACTAAAATTGTGCATGTCGTTAAATTTAGTAGGTATAGATTTTCAAATTATTGTAATATCTAGGTATACTTACTTATACCGTTTTACACACCTACCTATGGTTAGAATTACTGCATCATCTGCCACGAAATTGTGTACCATTTCATCGAAGTTTTTCATATATGGTAATGCCAATTTCATAAACCAGTCTTCGAAAAGGCTTTGGTCAAACTAACCAGATTTGCTCCTGTTATATCTCGCATTAGCAGGACCTCGCTCGGTCCATGTACTCCAGATATGCTCCGCTTTGTATACTATGTAAGGTGGCAGCATCTTGCCACTGCCTGTTACACAGAACATGACAGATGTATTGGATTTAGACGATTCCAACACTCTTTCTGCGTGCTTTGATTTCTTTCTGCCTACCGCTTTATTCTTACCAGGATTGTACATAAATCCACTCGCGTTAATTTAAAATGTTTTCAACGGAAATCCCTGCTAACGAAACCTCCAGATTATCAAAGTAGTTGTTGAGCACTGTTGCCGAAACATCAGCTCTACTTCTTTTTATATTTTCAGAGAGACGTAAACTTAACTCAGTATTTTTTGCAATAAATCCATAATACCAGCTAATTCCAGGTCTGTTGTTATTCCATTTTGAAATTCTCTTCCCTTGTCTGTTCATGTAGCCTTGAACTAATTCCATAACATCACATGATTCGAACGGAAATCCCCAGTCACTAGCTAAAGCTAATGCAATTGCGTGACATATTAATTTTTCTTCATTTTCAGTTAATTGTTTGACCCCCTACCGTTTTCGTATTTTTTTATTATGTTTCCTTTCTAAGGTCGACTTTCACTAGCTTTCCTAAATGACAATTTATTATTTCTTATTTCTCTTAGTGCTCTATCCAGTACTTCGTCCGAGAAGTCGCGATATTTGCGACTTCCCTGTACTCTTTTGTATTTATTAGGCATGTCCCAAGTCACCCTGAAAATAACACAAAAAAATAAAGCCGGCCCTGTATAAAAATTTTTAGGTTAGAATTAAAGATTGAACATCGCGGTCTTTTAACAACTTAACAAGAGCTTAGGAAAAAAATAATACGCGTCTCATATCTACCATGTACTCTGCACCACACAAAGTTTACGTTATGTATCATAACTATAATAAAACCTAAATTTTTTTCCCATTTCCTAACGTAGTTTTAATCATCCCTAGTTCCTATCGTAGTTTAATCCTTCCTAGTTTGTAACGTAGTTTTTAACCTCTCTTAGTTCCATATAAGTTGCTAACATTGTGTACATACGTTTTTATTCGAAACTTGAGTCAGAGGAAAGTCCCAACGTAAGTAAGCTTACCACCCAAGAAACACCCAAAAACATTTAATATCCACAGATGCTTGACGCTGAGGATGAGCCATCAACGTCGTGAAATTGTTTCGACAGATTTACGACAAGAGCCACCACGACTTTAAGAATAAGTAGGCAAAAAAGAATGCCTGGGAGACCATTGGGCAGATGGTGGAGCGAAATGGTAATTCATAGCGTTGTAAATATGTGCCTACATTATAATTGTACAGCGGAGGAATGCCAGCAACGTTTCGTGATGCTGAGTAATAGATTCGTAACTGAAAAGAGGCGGGTGGCAGCATTAAACGCCTCCAGTGCTGGAGGAGGTGTGGAATTATATGACTTATACAAAAAAATTCTGTTCCTATTGGGATTCATCAAGAGCAGACAGTAAGAACGTAGATCTGTTGTATTTAATGTTGTAATATCTTTTATTAGTACGACCTCAAATGTCCAACGGTCCTCGTGTGCTGCAAGTGCAGAAGGGCACCCACCACTCGAGATAGAGGGACACCCCTCTCATGACGGTGGCGAAGAGGAGGATGCCGATGTAGGGCATAGCAACGTGTGGGGTGTGATGCCCCATATCACAGAAGCACAACAGTCGCAAGGTAATTCGGGTGAAGTTAATATTAATATCATTACTTTAGAAGAGCTGGCTGAAAGTAGGGAAGCGCCTTCCACCAGCAGGGAAACGCCTTCCACCAGCATACCCCAGCAGACAGCCTTTCTACGGGCTGCAGAGACAAGGGGGAAGAAAAGAAAAGCGGCCACTTCATTAGAAGATGTCCTCCAAACGTCGTTGGGAACGTTGGAGGATTACCTGAAAAAGAAAGGCGAGGAAAAAGGAAATCTAGAAGAAGTCGACAGTGACATAAGTTTCGGTCGCATGATTGGCCTGCATTTAAAAGACATGCCGCCAGAACAAAAAAAGAAAAAAACAAAATATTTTTAAAACTATGTTGGATATTTCATTTCTTTAATAAAAAAATTCATACAATATAAAACAATTTGTTTAAGTAGGCAACGATCCACGTGCAATTGCATCGTACTGCCACGGTACACCTCTTTCCGGGCTGGTGAAATATGCCGCCAGCATATCACGATTTTCTCTTACAATTTTGGTTGAATGATTGGAACCTAACGTCGCACAGATCGGAGCTGTTCTCCTCCTGACCTCCACGTTCCTTCGTTTACTACTCCGTCTGCGCGAATGGAGTATCGTCGTTGCTCTAGTGGTAAATCTTCCTCTCCCTTTTGTAAAAAGTTGTGCAGCGCCACACATGCCTTTGTGATCGCTATACAGGTTTCAACATTTGCAATGATTGGTTTCCGAAACACCCTCCAACGTGAAGCCAAAATCCCAAAGGTGTTTTCGATCGTTCGCCTTGCTCGAGACAGCCGGTAATTGAATATTTCCTTGGCTTCACCTAGTCTTTATCCTGGATATGGCCTCATAATTTCTTCGTGTAGCGGAATGATCCGCCACAAAAAATAGGGTAGTCTTCCGTCGGTATTGGACAAAGCCATCTCGTGGGGAAGATCCAAAATTTCCCTTTGCCGGTGCAAAATGGCACTTCCAAATGGCGAGTCAGAAAACACGATACTATCATATTGTGACCCATATGCACTGATGTCGACAAGATTGAACTTATAAAATGCATCGCACACTGCCATCAACACGATACTGAAAGTATTCATATTCAAACACCAATGTATCACTTTCTTTGTTACGTATCTGCTACTCTTCTTATAATTAAAATAGTCGCTACCACTGTGCTTTGGTGCTTGTATGTGAACGTGCTTACCATACAAAGCACCGAGGCAATTTGGCATGTTCCACCTGTTGTAGAACCCCTTTGAAATTTTAATAAACTCGTAATGAGTAGGTGGAGACAAATACAGTGACGAAAGACTATCCCAAATGACAGAGCACGTTTCTTTGATGATGCAGTGTGCAGTTGCCTTGCCAATATAAAAATCTGTCGCCACTTTCTGCATCGAGCAGCCTTCTACCAAGTTACTACAAAATATCATTGAAAGGTTCTGCATTTATATTTATCATTATTACTCACTGCAAACTTATTGTTAATCGTTCTGCAGGTGAAATAGGGCATTTTTGTTGTATTTTTAAACGTTCTTGAACTGCAAATATACAAATTAAACACGTACAATACATTTTATATATTTTTATTTTAACTCAAAAGTACTCCATCTTATTCTTCTTTTTCATTGTTACTAACTTAATAATATTTCTTACAAGATTTTAGGGATGCATTCAACAATTTAATCACGTCTTTTTGAAGTGCCGGTCCTAAAATCCCCAATAAATTATCAAACACCGCAGGAGACATCCTCGTGAATTTCACGTATTGTTCGTCATCCTGAAGGGTCTTCATCAACTGCACTCTCCGATGAAAATGGCCATAGCGATGCCGTTGCCGGTTGATGGGCCTCACCTTGTAGCGTCGGTGTCGCATGTGCTTCAAATGCACAAGTGCAGCGCAACATACTAATAGGTAGAAGGAGAAAACCACATCTTCTTCATCCATATTACTAAAACAATGAACGCTTAACCAAGTACACCACCGGCAGCACAAAAACATACCAAGTATAATGAAACGAAGAGTAATTACCTAGAACTATTACATACAGTACACCTAAATTTAAACAAGTTTACAAAATCACAAAACACCGGCCACACAAAAACGTACAAAGGTATTTCGCTTTTTCACTATCATTTACACTAAGAAGTTAAAAGTTAACCAACTTTAGCTTAGTGAATTAATGTCATAGGCGGCAGTCACATATAACCACTGCCACTTGTAGCCACCCCACACCACTTAAAGCGAAATGAAGCAGTCACACATAACCACTAATGTGAACAACAGACTTGTGCTTCAATACCTACAATTTTGTTTTATGTCAAATTCTTAACCTATATTTGTGTTTCTCTCAGATAAATTTGTAGAAATTTTACAAGCATGTCTTCGTCGGAAAGTGAATCTGAGATTTTGACTGTGTATTATTATTATAAAAAATATTACAAAAAAAGAGGAAATGTTAGACACGTGAAATTTTTTTACACAGAGAACAATTAGGTGAATATCACCAACTGGCTCCCCAATTACGGCACGATTCTGAAAAATTTTATGGGTAGGTATTACAGAATGTGCGATGAAGTATTTGATTATCTACTTGAAAAAACAGAACCGTCATTTGTAATAGGGCATTCAAAATTTAGGAAGTCCATTAGTTTTGAAGAGAAACTTACTGTTACAATACGGTAATGTGTATATATCTTAGATTAGGAAAGAGTATGGATACCGCGTATGCCGTACAGCCCGTGTATGAATCGTGTTACCTTTTTAAACAAGTCCGCCATTTTATATGTGGCACATATGTCACTAAAGTAAAATCGCTTTTAATACGTTTTTGAACTTAAATTGAGAGGAAACGGAAGAAAAACAATCTGAAATTATGGTGAATTGTTCAGCTTTTGGATGCAAAAGCAGGAGTGAGAAGAAGGAGCCGGGAATTTCATTTCACAGGTAAATATTGAGAATGTGCCCAATGCCGTTACCACGTATTTGCCTATTTTTCATCACAAAGCATTGGCTTTGAATGTTCTTCTTTTAATATGTTAAAATTAACAACTTAGTGAACGACTTTATATAATTTCGTTCAATAGTACCAATCCCATGCACTCAAATTTTGATAACAAACGTTTTCAAGGACGGTATAATTCACTAAACTCCATAGGCGTAGTCATTGGCACTCGGCGTTTTTTTTAACGGAAATTTAACAGTTAATAATTAATTGTCATTCCTTTTATACATCTATGTGTGTTACAGTTTTCCAAAAGATTTGGAAAAACGCCAAAAGTGGCTAAACAATATGAAAATTGATAGCTGGATCCCAACTCGTAACGATCGGCTTTGTTCAAAGCACTTTGAAAATTCAGTTCTTTACAAAACTGATGGGGGTACAAGAGTGCGTTTACTAAACCAGGCAGTTCCCACAACATTTATGGAATTACCAAGATATTTGCAACCAGTAAAGGTAACATAAGTATTTAAAAGTCAATAGGTACACGAATGTGTACAATTAGTTAATTTTGCAGACAAAAGAAAGAATACGTGCAAGAGATCCACAACCAGGCCCATCTTCTCTTTCACAAGATGAGTCACCAAACAGAAAATTGCTACGGAAACAGCTGTTACGGGAAAAAGTAAAAAACAAACAGAAAGCAATCAAGATTCGCGTTTTATCACAATCTTTAAAAAGATACAAAAGAAAAGTAATTTCCCTAAAATGCCTGATTGGAAGTTTGAGGGAAAAAAATTTGTTAGGGAATGAAAATGCAATGTTACTGGAGAACATGTCTCCTGTTTGTAAAGGAATGTTGCAAAGAAAATTGGGTAAAAAGAAGAAATATTCTCCAGAACTGCGCAAATTTGCCATATCTTTAAATTTCTTTTCGCCAAAGGCTTATAATTATGTACGTGATACGTTTGACACTTGTTTGCCTCATAGCAATACAATTGGTAAATGGTTGCAAACTATTGATGCTTCACCAGGTTTCACTACTGAGGCTTTCGAAACTTTAAGAAAACAGGTGCAATTTTCACAAAAACCATGCCTTTGCGCATTGGTAATAGATGAAATGTCCATCAGGAAACATTTAGAATGGGATGGAAATAAATTTTATGGTTATGTCAATTTTGGGGTGGATATAAATGATGACTGCAATGAATTAGCCAAGGAAGTTTTTGTTTTATTAATTGTAGCTGTAAACGGCACATGGAAACTTCCAATTGGCTATTTTTTAACAAATGGGTTAAGCGGAGAACAAAAAAGTTCACTAATAAATCAATCCATAATTATGGTACAAAACACGGGGGCAAAAATTGTATCGCTAACTTGTGATGGTGCTCCATCAAACATATCAATGTGTAGTTTGTTAGGTTGTTCATTGCAATATCCAAATATGCAAACCATGTTTCAAGTGGGTGATGATAAAATTCATTTTTTCCTTGATCCATGTCACATGGTAAAATTAGTGAGAAACACTTTTGGAGATAAAAAGTTGATGTTAGACCAAAATGGGAATTGTATTCAGTGGAAATATATAGACGAATTAATGAAGTTGCAGGAAACTGAGGGTTTACACCTTGGAAATAAACTACGTTCTGCACACGTTTATTTCGTGAAACAGAAAATGAAAGTAAAGCTGGCTGTGCAGTTATTAAGCAATTCTGTGGCAGATGCTCTAGAATATTGTGATGCTCAATTAAATTTGGATGAGTTCAAGGGGTGTAAGGGAACGGCAAGTTTTTTGAGAATTATCAATAACATTTTTGATATATTGAATTGTAGATCGTTAGTATGTTATGGCTACAAGAAGGCATTATGTGCCAAAAATATTGAAAATCATACTGAATTCATTCATTTTGCAATTGAGTATTTATCACGCTTAACTTTTGTGGGTAATGAATTAGTAATTAATTCCAGACGAAAAACGGGATTTCTTGGCCTTATTTTATCTCTTAAAAGTGCTTTACAACTTTATAGTGAAATGGTTCTTAATAAACGGCTATTATTCTATTTACCAGTATACAAAGTTAGTCAAGACCACGTAGAATTATTTTTTTCGTCTGTACGTTCAAAGGGTGGCTGGAATAATAACCCCACTGCCAGGCAATTTATGGGCGCTTATAAAAGACTTTTGGTAAGGGGAGAAGTGAGAGAGGGTGGTGTAGGGAATTGTATTCCGTTGGATCAAGTCCCAATTCTTATGGTGTCCTCTAGTATACAGAATAGATCTACCACCCCTGAATATTTCATTAATCTTAGTACGCCAGGCAATAAAGAACAAGCCTTAGAAGCAGAAAACATATGTGGAATTTGGAATGAACATGACTACATCATAAATGATATTACAATGACAGATTGCTCAT